AGATGTGTTTGTATGGATTGTTTTTGTTTACATTTCTTTTAAAAAAATAAACACTGTTTTGTGTTTGCTTGTAGAAATTTAATCAGCATTTTGAACCAGGTTAGCTTTTTATTTTGTACTTAAAAATTCTGGTACTGACACTTCACAGGCTAAATATAAAAAAAAAAATGAAGTTTTTTTTGTGTGCACAATTAAAGTGGACTGTAAACTGTTGGTATATTCAGTAATACAGTTCTGAACTTGTAATGTATATGGCATGATGTATTTTTATCTTACAGAATAAATCAATTGTATATATTTTTCTCTTGATAAATAGCTGTATGAAATTGTTTCTTGAATATTTTTCTTCTCTTGTACAATATTCCAACATCCTACCAGTATTTGTCCTACAGTTTTTTTCTGTTCTGTATAATAGTATCTAATGTTGGCAAAAAAAACACAAAAACAACACAAAAAAAGAATTTTTTGAAGTATACAGAGTGTTATGGGTTTTGGAATTTGTGGAAACAGATTTAGAAGATCAGCATTTACAAATAAAAATATTTTACATCTATAAATTAGATCCTCCTGTTTTAATTTTGGGGTGTCCGGTTTCTAGTTCTTTCAGGATTTCAGTGTTTGTTTCCATCAGCAAGAAGCATTTGCTTTCCCCTCTTCCCGAGGCATCCTCAGCGTTACGCTGTGGTGCCAGGTGCTGAGCACCCTCCAGCTGCCATTCCCTGCAATCGTGTTTTCCCCACAAAATCTACAAAACATGCAAATACCGTATTCTGCTTGTGCTGGGTTTGGCTGGAATAGAGTTACTTTTCTCCACAGTAGCTGGCATGGGGCTGGTTTGGATTTGTGCTGGAAACTGTTGATAACACAGGGATGTTTTCGTTACTGCTGGGCAGTGCTCACACAGAGTCAAGGCCTTTTCTGCCTCTCACCCCAACAGCACAAGAAGTTGGGAGGGGACATAGCTGGGACAGCTGATCCCAACTGACCAAAGGGATATTCCACACCAAATCATGTCATGCTCAGCATATAAAGCTGTGGGAAGGAGGACAGTGGGGATGATCAGAGTGATGGTGTTTGTCTTCCCAAGTCACCGTTACACATGATGAAGCCCTGCTTTCCAGGAGATGGTTGAGCACCTGCTCAGGTGATGGTTGAGCACCTCATCAGGTTGATTCCCTGGGACACAGGGAATGAAATTCCGCTTTGCTTTGCATACATTGCTTTTGCTTTATCTATTAAACCCACCAGTTTTTGCACTTTTGAGTGTCTCCCCCATCCCACTAGGTGGGTGTGAGGAGGGGCTGGATGGGGTTACACCACAGTGCTCCTGACACCAGGGACACACCAAGTCCTCAGCAGAGGGTCAAGGCTAAAAAAAGTCTCCAAGATTTATTGCACAGAAGTGGGAACCAGCCAGGCCAAAGCTGTTCTCCAGTGTTATTTATTCCTATCGTGCACTTTGGCTGCTGGAAGACGGAGGAGCCATCTGCGCAGGGTCCAAGCACATCGTGTCGGCGTTCGGGGCGAGCTGGAGGGGGGAGGGGAGCCCTGGCACAGGCACACGTGTTGGTGCAGGGCAACCTCAGAAACAGGAGAGAAACGAGGCATGAAGCAAAGCTGCTGTCAGCCATAGTCACTACCACCTCCATGAGCCATCAAGAAGGAAATACTTGACACAGAGGCTTAAAAATTAAGTCCCGGGCACAGTTTCTTTACAAATAATAAATTCCTCAGTATGACAACAGCAAACTGAGTGCTGCGACAGCTTATAACTCAGGATAAGGCTTTTCCTTCTATTCTTCCTGTTCATCCAACTTCATAGAATCATAGAATCGGCTGGTTGGAAGAGACCTTCAAGATCATTGAGTCCAACCATTCACCCTGCACTGTCAGGGTCCCTAAACCATGTTGCTCAACACCAAATCCACACACCTCCAGGGATGGGGACTCCACTACCTCCCTGGGCAGCCTGTTCCAATACTTCACAACCCTCTCTGTAA